TTCTAGTTGTAAATGCTACTTTTCGAAATTAAAGATGCTCGATACTGTACAAACAAACTTAAAGAAAGTGCTTTTCTCGTGTTTCTGTTTTGTAGAAGTAGAAATATCTACATTAAAAGTATTTATTCAAATTAGAAGACGAAGATATAGTAAAAATCAAATTGCTGCTAAATCTCTTTCAAGCTGAGGAAACATTTCAATACTGGAGCTGAAATTAAAATAACTTTTCCATTATAGCAGAGAAACAACAATTAAATACGGGAAATTTAAAAAGATTTCTTTCCCTAGTGAATTTTCAATTCCCAAAGGAAAATTTATATAATCATTTTGAATCAAAATCACTACTTTGCTATTCCCAAGCAAGATTAAATTATGATCCCATTGGGAAAGTCATCTGGCGAGTGACGTTTTAACCTTTGCTTTGATCGAGAGAATACAACAATACAATACCGTTGATACAATATGAAACAAAGTCACATATCTTTGATACAATGTCATATAAAACAACAATATCATTATTAAAATGGCCAGGAGTATCAGTACCAGGGCCCACGCCACAAATTCCAATGTGAGGGGCCAAGTTCTACACATCAAATGTTCTACCAATAAATGCACAAATTTTTGCCAGTGCCAAGAACAATTTCTTCTAAACGCTTTGCTTGAAAAGGTAATATATAAAATGCAGTTCTGCTTGCCTTGCAAGGGATAGATCACACAACTTTCGTGAAAACATCCTACTTTGTGTATCTCAACATTGGCATCTTTGTTTTCATTCTTTATCTCATGAATTCAAGCTATATTTAAATTGTAATGGCGTCCAAATTAAATTTGTTTAACTTCAGAGTGTCTAAGAAGGAAATAGAGACAATTCGAAGCTTGACTGAATTTGAGCCAGAAATACTGACAAAATGAAACAATTCTGGCTGACAAAAATAATGATGTTAAATTCAACATGGCGCTGATCTCACCGGACTAAATGCGTTTGAAAGAAGGTGCTGGCAGTAGCCTTTGGAAGATTCCTCTCCTTAAGTAGATTAAAGAATGTTTACGATTTCGATTTTTAGCTTGTGCTTCGAAATCATAAGCCAAATCCTTCCTTATCTAGCCTTGCTTTTCTTAAGGCGCTTTCGAATAATCTCGATACAATTGATTCTCCTTAAATCTAAAGCCCGGGCTTGCCCCTTCATTCGGCCATTGAGCGCGCCGAGAGTTTTCCTCTACTCTATGCATCGTAGGATTAAGTTGACGTTAATTCCTTTTAATTGGCAGATAATTTAATCTTTGATTAATTGCAGAATTCGATAGAACCAATTTTGAAATTGGGATCGTTTTTCTCAAGGCGACTTTTCCTCTGCTTTTTGGTCACTATGTTTAAGTTTTACGAAATCCAATCATTTTTAGAAAGCAGTTCTCTTCTGTCTGTAGGCTGTTCTTTTTTACACGCTGTCGCCTCCTCGGGCACATCGAGAAAAGACAAGGTGTTAGAGAAAGATTTTGATAGAGAACAAGAAATTGTGACTGGATTTATCAAAAAATATTGACACAAAAACGATTCTTGTATTCAAAACCGAAGGAAAAGTTAACACATAACGTCAGTAGAAACGTTTTTGGAAACTGTTTCAGCTCTTCTTAATTAACAACTTTGAATGTAAAATAGAATATGAGAAAATTAGAGCAAAAGAACGGTGATTTTTGAAGATAAGCTCAATTTAGTGGGTCTCAAAGCTACGTAAATTTTTTTGAAATGCGTTGATAGCTTTTCTTTTGCGCTTTTATTTGTAAAGAAATCTTTTTCTCAAATCTGATAACATTTATGAAGTATTTATAACCTTTAACGAAGAATTCAAAGTTTTTGGATACAAAATCTTTTCGTCGTTGTTACACCAAATATACCTCCTTTTTTCTACTAACAGTAGAGGGGCTCTGTGAAATATTTGCTCGGATGGGAAATTTTCTGACACCAATCGCAATCAAAAACGCTCTTAAAATGTTTGTTAAAAACAATTCAAAGGTACAGTATCTGAAAATTATTGTATTAATGATACGAATGAAAATGATACATTTTTTACACATTGCTAATTCTTACACAAGAAGGAAGGACAGCTGAATCTTAATACCCTTGGCTTTTAGTAGAGTGAAAAGTGGAGATGCCTTATGCCAATTTTGATAAAAGTGTTACCTGTGAACATTGCCTATCTCGAGAAAGGCGCTAACTTCATAAAATTAGATGACTTAAATACTGTTGGCGCTAACTTAAATACTGTTGTCATTTTTATCGCCCGCAGGCACGTAAATATTGGGGGTGTGGGGGTGTGACACCCCCTAATCTTCTATCCAGTCGGAAACATGAGGATAGTCGGAAAATTTAAAGCTGTTGATAGAAAGCTAGGTTAATCGGGGAAAAATTTGAATAATTCGTGAAAACTGAAGTTTTGACTCAAATGACCTTGTAAACTGTAGCTCAAAGAGAAGCATAAGAAAAGTATTAGTTCATCAGAAAATAGTTGTTTGGTAAAAGGCAGTCCTAAAATAATGAGAGGTGACGCAATACAGAAAAACGAAGTTGAGTGTAAATGCAAGTATTTTCAACTACATTCGTCGTAATGGGGATAGTGTGATAATCATTCCTGTATCAGTGACAAAGAATGAAAGAACACTTAGTCGCATGAAAATTGTCAAGAACTTTCTCCATTCGAGATCGACCGATGAAAGACTTAACGACCTCATGCTTCTTACTTGCGAGTAAAAGATTTTGGACAACGTAAATTTAGATAAGATAGTGGAGCAATGGGCAAGTCGTAGAAAGAGAAAAATGAACACCTGATTTTTGGACTACGTATGTTTTGATGCACTAATTAAACTAACAGTCTTTATACTCGATCTTCCAAATTTATGAACTTTAGAAATTTTATCATACAGCTGAATAATTATTCACGAAAAAATTTATAAGGTTTTGTTTGGAAAAAACTATTTAAGTTTAAGCCCTCATACAAAGTTAGAATTGACCTTTGTCAGTCGGAAATTTTGAGCCCTTCAACCCCCCCCCCCCCCTCCCTCCCAGATTTCGTCCAATTTACGTCCCTGATCGCCCGTTTTGACCATTTGCTTATTGTTATGCATGTTTGAGCATTTATAATCTGTTTTAAAAAATTTATTTAAATTTGTGTTTTAAAATAGGACTTAATTTTGATTTCTAATGCTCAGAGCTACGAAAAACAAGTGGCTCGTCGTCTTGGGCTCACTAATACGTCTTTAAATAACGTGACAGCTCTTGAGATGCAAACTTAACTTGATTAAAAGCTGCGTACAAAATCCTTTAAGCCATTTTCCGCGACTGCTACCTGCGACAATAATGGCTCCATTTTTTAATTCACTTGATGCAAGTTTAACAAGGGATTTTGATCCGCATCGTCAGCAATTGAAACTCCACAGCTTCAAAAACCTTAGTATTGGAGAGTTCTTTAGAGCCTTTGAAAGAGACTGGGCAATAGTCTGCCGATGACGTGTTCCTCACATGATCAGGAATTCGTTTTTGGTTTCGATGACAAACATGCCTATTACTTGGCAGAAAACAGCACATCTCTGAAAACTGAAAATAGGAAATTGAAATACTTAAGAAATATCGACCGTAAAAAATTGAGTTGTTTTTACCAAAAAATATTATAGAACTCCATTTTTGTAAATAATTTATCACTAAAACATTGTCTCTTTTTCTGTAGATACCTGTTTAGCATGAAAAAGGTCAAGATTGCTTTGGAATTTTCATAAAAATCTTACAAATTCTGCCCAATTTGATCTTTTCCCTGCACAGCTTGGCAGAAAATGGAATTCGATCGTGATCATACCATTTTTGATGCCGCCTAAATTTGCAAAAACTATTTGGAGTATGTAAAAAAACAATATAAATTGTGCAGAATGTTTTGTAGGGTGGCTTTTTCTTCAAAATCTTCCCTTATGAATATTCACAGGTCCTTTCAAAGCCCCTTTCGATTCAGCCTGAGCTCTTCTCAACGAGAGTGCTGCTTGCTTCAATGCATTTCAAACGGATCTCTCAACAGTTTACTTGTCGCAAAACGAATACGAGTATTGTTTTAATGGATTTAAGACCCTACAGCTTAATCTTTGGTTCTGGACTAAAGGATCAAAGGGCATGGATTAACTGAAAGCTGGATTGTTCGCATTTAAAAAGTAATTAAAATGTCTTTCGCAGAAGTAAACCAAATGGTTGGCCCGACAGAATTATCCATCCTAAACAAAACGTGCACAAATCAGTTGATTTGAGCATAAAATTTTGACAAGTTGTAAAACAACGTGCCCTAGAACACACGAGCAAGCAACTGCTTCAATCTCTCTTAGGAATGATGCAACTTTATTTCATTGCATTCAGAACTGTATCTTTGAGAACTGTATCTTTTCTGGAACGGCCTTTTGCACGGATCTCAGGTGCCAGCTATTGCCTCAACATGATAAACTACAAATAAGCTTAGATACCCGATGCAAGCTATTTGCTACAAAGACTCCCCGTTGGATAAACCTCTGTACGAAATTCCTCCAGCGGGGAAATGCTTTAGTGCAGAAGAGAATAACTCTTAAGGGATGTTATCCTTGCTACTCAACCTTAATCGGCGCATGCGTTTGATGTGTGCTGGAGCATGTCCCTTTTGTGCAAGACAGCCAGGAACAAGTGGATTACTAGAGTTTAGGGAAATACTTCGCAGCTTGAATTTTTATACCCGAAAATCAATAATCAGTCGTTAGTTCTTTCTAAGATAAAGACTTAAATAACAAAGGGCAGTAATCGAATCATGCTATTGCCCTAGATGCTTAATCTCAAGCAGGGACACACTCTTGTGGTCTATGTGTGTATTTATAAAGAGCGATGTGGGCAGAAGACCATTCGAGCTGACATGGTTCTGAGCAACGCCCCTTCGTAATAGACAACAATCTAGCTATCTTTTACGAAAGCTTTTCTTCAATATTATTGTCCTTCGCGTTTTCAGGACAGAAGACAAAGATTCTCAAGATATGGATATACTGGCAGATTTCGACGATTTTAGTGCAGAATTGGAGCCACAGTTTGATATGGACGAATCCAGTCAGGCTAGTGATGATTTACCTTCGAAAAAGACGAAACAGACAAGAAGGAAACCACGTCGACGAAAGCGAATGCTGACAGGGGTAAGCAAGCAGAGACGAGCTGCAAATGAGCGAGAAAGAAGAAGATTGCAAATTATCAATAATGCATTTATTGGTTTAAAAGATCTTCTTCCACTTTTACCTGGAGAAGAGAACATATCGAAGATTGAGGTCGTAAAGCTGGCATCAAGGACAATTTTGCTTTTGCAGGAAATTTTGGACGAAGATGACCAGAAAAGAGAATCTGAGACTGAAGAATCTCGCAGCTCTTGTGGGTCATCGTACAGCTCACGGTCCTGCAGCTCAATCGACTCAATCGAGAGCTTCGAAACTAACACAGAGCTCGATTTGCAGGACAGTCATGACTTTTCGTATTTGCTATTTCCTTCAGATGACATGAAACTTGACCCGTTCGGAGACTCTATGGATACTGGTTTAAGCATACCATCGCCATGCATTTCCGACTCGTCATATACCTCTTCGTCGAAAGAAAGTTCAGAATTCCCCTTTATGGAAGACGATCCGATGAAGGACGATGTCTTTCAAAAAGGACCAACAATGTGCCTTTGGTGACAATAAAGAGGTTAGTTGATTTTAAAATATTGTCTTTGTTCCTTACTTTTATCTACGCAATTAAAGTTACGTCATTAATTACACCAGTAAAAAACATCTTCAAAGATCATTTCGTGCATGAGACGTTGTTTACATAATTAGTTTAGCAAAATACGAAGGAAGGTTTGCCAAATATCACTAAGATACCTGGGGATCTTTTTACCTCTTTTCAATATCTAACAAGAGGGAGGAGGCGACTAAACAAGATGTTACTCAGAGCAATGTCTTGAAATTCAATAGCATCAATGCTAAATTAACGGTGGCATTTGATTTACACATATGAAACAAACGATTCGGCGTTTCGCTTGAAAACTTTTTTTAATACTCTTAATCTTAAACCTCAATTTCCACAAAATATTTAAAAACAGTACATTCGTTGTCAGCTATAATTGAAAGTTAAAACATTGTTAGAAGTGATCGTGGATAGACATTTTTTTCATTGTTTTAATTATGTTTTGAAAACCCTTTGCGTGAGTGATCATTCAATATAAATCCCCTTAATCTTGGCACATTTTGTGCTTGAGCCCGAATAAAATTGTCTTGTTTTAGAAATCAATAATTTTTGAAAATTCCCTTCGCCATAAAACATCTCTCCCTGCATCCTAGTGGCAATCCCTTGATGGTATCAACAAACCCTTTATTTTTATTACAAAAACACTGCATCTGCAAATATTTAGTCGTTCGATCGGCTACAAAATCGCTGCGTTTAGTGTGATGTTTTTTCCCCTTGCAAACACGAGCAATGTTTTGCAATTTCTGGAAAGCACCGTCCGTTTGTTTTGCATTCCATTAAATCATAAACTTCTCAGAGCCACTTACCTCAGTCTAAACAAAAGCTAGGGAGGAGAGATCTGAATCAAGCATCGCATTCTTCGTGCGCCGTAAATAATTGTGAGTTGCGTTTTCAATGCGGAAAATCTCAAACCAATCAGCTGATCTTTTAACAATGCCGAAGTTTAGTGAAAGAACAATGTCTCTATAGACGATCTGAACACAATCCAGTTAGGGAACTGGTCAAAGAATGCCGTTATAGCCGTGCAAATCTTTACAACTCGTCTAGAAGTGAAGCTTTTTATACATCATGAGATCTGACAGTTTTCTTTTAATTTTGATATGCACCACACCTTCTTTAGTTAACCGAAACAATTTTCTTTCTGGTATATGTATTGGCGTATCAAATAAAATTTCATTAATTTTGAAAAGAAATACATTTTTCCATGGTCATGTAAGTAAATGCACAGGATTGGTTTATGATCATTCCATAATCCAATGTTTCTGCTAATTTGGCAATGAAAGCAGGCTTCCTTTAAGAAATTAGATATATGGTAGAGGGGTAATCACTCTTTATTACAGCATTCATCTTGCGGCTACCGTGGCTAAATGCAGCTCTTTCTACATGATTTTGCTAGGCCGTTTGAATGCTGTTTGATAATCTTGTACAACTCTTCGATTTACTATCAATGCTGGGAAAATTTCGAAGACTCGAAATTTAATTAGGCGTTTTACGACGGTTTTTCGGATGAATGAAGGCATTATCCGTAACAAAAATGATTTCAATTTCATTGAAGCCCTCATTTAGGTTTTTTGCTTCATGGGTATTAAAAAATGCAATAAATGGAAGTTGTAAGAAAAAGGTTTTTGATTGAAAGACGCTCGATTTATTTTTGAATTTTATTTTACTTGTAAGTACAACGGTAATGCATGTTGAAGCTAAGGAATTTTAGCAACGGTAGGTTCACATGATAGACACTACCTTTACTGATTGGTCAAGGCATTGCAAAAGAGCCGTTGCATAGCAAATTTTTTTCATATTCTCATAAAATCTTTACTAAACATACATAAGTTTACAAGACGATACCACAGGGAGCTTGGGAATTCATAGAAAATAGCAACCCTGTGGCATTTTACATATAAAACTGACTTAAATACAATTAGAAGATGCAGAATGTACGAAAAGAATAAAAAGAAACTATTTCTAGAACGAGGAGAGGAGAGAGGAAGTATGTTGTTTGTATCACCAATTTACTCAACACGTTTAGAGGCCTAGTTATATTTTAGCGTTGCAAAGCAGCCGTCCTATTCTATACACCAATCGCCAGTTGTATAGACTCAGTACCTGATTGTCTCTGGGTGATAAAAACTGCAGCAAATACAAGACTGAAATTTGCTTCATTCTGCATTCAGTTGTATTGCAATCCGAACAGATGTAATTTATAAAACCAACCATAGCATATTTCGAATGCTTTGATTGGCCAATGAAATGTCGGCCAGTCAATCATTTTACTGACAGTCATTCGTCAAATGAATTTTGTTTCGATCTCAAGTTAAGTCATCGCTGACATTTTGAGCATAATTGGTATCATGATAAAATAATGCATTATCTTACCTTGATGATAGAGAACGGAAGGTAGTTAAGGATCAATAAAGTTGAACTAAAGGGGGAATTGCCATGATTTAGCTTTCACAATATCAAAAGGATTATCAAGATTCGTTTTCTGCTAGGGAGGGGCAACTTCATCGAAGGCTCATTTGTTACGAATTTTCTTAAATAGCACTCATGTGGCGCTGAACAAAATACAGAAAACGCAGTGACTCTCGCAGTCTTGACTTTTTTCTTGGCAGAGCAAACTTTTTCTCCTTTTCTCCTTTTTCTCCTTTATTCGATTATTTTGAGGTTTGTTGAGAGCAAAATGCAACATTAATTGCATTGTGAAAAATTTAAATTGTACTCTAAGAAGGTGAATATATGGAAATACAGCAATGTGATGTTTTAATTTTTAAAGAAAACTGTGCTGGGTATCAATCAGCATTATATTATTACTTTAATAGTATTTTATTCAATCACAGTTTTCAGGTGCTATTAATCTTTATGCTCAGTGACATGGTGCAAACGCCGTGATAAATATACCATGTAATTTGCTCCTCCTCATTTCCATTGAAACTCGAAAGCAACAATATTTGTAATGGCGGAGAAATGCACTGCATGCTAAGAAGCAGTGCGTTGCTTAGTAGCTACAATACCATTTTCAGCAAACCAAATTTTGTTTCTTATATTCAAGTTGCAGGGCTATGTTTATCAATGTAACTCATACGAATCAAACATTGTAAGTCGCCTGATAAAAATTTGAATCCGAGAATACGACAAAGACAGGTTTTTTCATCAAAGCAGATGAAACAGACATTTCAAATATTTCGTTTCTTGTTGGAATCCAACCTGAAAAATAACTCAAGTTATCCTTTCCAAGAAATCATAACAGTGGATATTTTTTACCGGTTTTTAGAAAGAACACCAAACTTCCAGGTCACTGCTTGCATCTCGTGACAAGTAAATCTTGTATATTCAACATTTCACAATCCAAGAAACAACGAAATTGTTTTCAAACAAGATTGAAAGAGAGATTCCAAGGAAAACTGGCCTGTAACAAGCGAACTATTTTTAACAAAATTGTGAAAACTTCTACGTCACGAAGCAGTTATTGTTTTGCAAACAGTGGTTAAATCTAGTTGATAAGAAGAAATGATTATTGATTAACAACATAGTAACAAAGATTGAGCCTTGTAGAATGCGGTTTCTCTCTACATCGCTATAAAAGAGACAAAGACTTTAGTTTGTATTTCTTATAAATATTAATGGCTAACACAAACTATATAGCTTTCATGTTTCAAAATATTCGGGATTTGAATTGAAAATCCTAACAGTCTTAAATGCGGAGGAAGTTGTAAACAAATTATAACATGATATGTTTATAGTGATATCTCTAAAAGAAATTTCTATGGGAGGTGCTAGCTTTTATTTTCTTGATTGATTTTAAGATCTTTATTTATCTATGGAATTTGATGACCGTATGATGTTATTTGTGCGGAATTTGCGATATTTTTACTAAGCAAAAAATCCTGGGGCTAGGCTCTCATTGAACGATGATTTCGAAAAATGTTAATATGGGCTTCATAATAGCAATAATCCACAAGCTCCAGTTTACAAAATCGAATTATGATCATTGCGATAAGCTTCTAGTGTACCAAGTATCAAGCTGCTTAAAGATAACGGGAGATGTTTTAAAACGTTCATTATCATTGATATATCCCGTTGGAGGTAACAATTGGCCTTTACGTTTTCAATTATAGTAGATTTGCAGAGTGCTTATGTCCTTCCTGGTAGGTGATTATGCCCCATGAGAGATCAAAAAATGACGCACACAATGAATGCTACACCAAATATTCAATAGAACAATAGATCACTGCTACCTTCCACTATCGAATCAAAATCAAGTTGAGCGCCCTTGGGCAACAGTCCTGAGGCTGTGGTGGTCGCATTTCGACAACAGCTTCCGTGTTTTGGTTGATTTCAGCCGAAGCCATTGCAAAGCTACCGAAGCCATTGAAAAGCTACCGAAGACATTGGTTTTCCTTTTAGAATAATTTGATGCCTGTACCATAGCTAAACAAAAAGTACAACATCATAAGAAGAGAAATGAATTGGTAATATCAAAAAGAGCACAGAACAGCGGCACAATAACAAAATGTTACGCGTTCAGGACTACAGATAGTTTGGTGGGAGCAAGGGTCAATTTTCATGGTTTATCACTTAAAAAACCTAAGATCGTAAAGACAACAAGATCACTATTTCCATTGTAGTAAAGATAAAAGTTCCCGAAATAAAATTTACAATTTGCCGTCTTGGATGAGAGTTGAGCGATAGAAAGACATGGGAAACCAAGAATATACCAGCATTTGAGATTTTCTCCGTTCACCATTTAGCACTTTTAAGCATAGCTGAATCGTCTGTTTTCCAAAGAAATTGAAAAAAAGGCAAAATGACATTGTCTAAGTTCTCGTTTTTACTTATCGCTCAATAGAAATTGACTGCTTGCATGTTCTCGCTCTTTGACTTATAATAAAAAAGATGATATGACCTAATACTCTTGTAGGAGACTTAGCTACTTCTCAACTCTCAAAAAGAGATTTGGTGTAATTCTTATTCTTTCACATTCGTCTTTGGCGAAATTTCTGCTTCAAGAAATTTACGATTTCCATCATCAACTTTTTCAGGTCACTTTGATAAATAGCTTTAGGGAGGTGGTTTGTTTAAAGTTGAATCTATGCTATTTTCAAAACATGTTAGGAATGTCTCTTTCTCAAAAGTTGTACAATCACTGCCAAAATCACTTGAAACACCCAACACTTTGCGCTGTGCTTTTCTATTTTTCATTTGTTTTCCTGAATACAACTACTTTTGTCCCCCTGTCCCCCTAAAACAATGTTGAAAGTATAGAAAAATATCAAACAATCCACAAGAAAAAGCGTACTCCATAACCCCTTTCTTTTTTCTATAGAAAATCAACATTGTTCTTAGGAGTAGAGGAGGATGACTGAATTTGCCTTTGAAATCCTAGGTTAGTGTTCCAGGACTTTTGGCAATGATTTTACTTGTTTTTAGAAGTGTTTCCCATGGCCTGCTAGGACACCTGTTGGTTTTCTCTCAACTCGCTCGGAGATGTAGTGTACCATGTCAAAATACCCCGTCGATTCTTACAAGAAAGATTGAATGCTGCAACTACAAAAGATCTTCAATTTGATCAAGTGTCTGAGTAACAACACAAGCTTCCAGTGTGGCATAGACAATACAGAATCTTTTCCCACTGTCAAAAAAGATTTAGTGTTTATTGTTGGGAGCTTCATGCATAGTTTTGCTGAAAAAATTTTCACTGTTTTGAAAATATGTTGTTTAGCAAAGAAAGATTTCTTATTTGTCAAAACCAAGCATTTCAAAGTTGTTGTTTTCTTGCAAACGCAACGTATTCAATGCTTGGGCGTTTATTGCCCAATGAAAACTTTAATCGTTTTAATTCGTTCTGGTCATCGAAATGCGATTGCTTATGCACGATGAGGCAGCTTTACGAAAGTTGTGATACCATACGAATGTCTTAATAGCAAATCGGTTTATTTCTATGGGTGTGTTAATCTTGAATCGCTAGGATATACCTTAATACCTGTTATTCAGCACTCATCTTTAATACCTGCTGCCTAATAAACCGTCTTCGTTTTAAAATTATTCTACAAAGTCAATAAATTAGAATAAATCAACTTTCGTAAAGTTCTTTTGTGCCTGCTGTTACTCAGCACAATTATTCAAAAAATAATACCAACCGCCTTCGCCTCATTTCCATTTTCTTTTTTCATGTAAAACTTCTTCTCCTTTCCTCATTATGGCAAAAACTTGCCTAGAGCGACTTTCCAATCCCTCGATATTACCACAATTCATAAATTGTTAATAATTCACATTTAAACATGATATTTATCTATTTCACAAACATCAAATACTCTTGCAAAAATACATAGACTTATCTGATTAATCAAATTTAAAAAAAAATATCTTCATGAGTAAACAATTTTGCTATCACTTTCGTTTCTACTTTTTAAATCTTGCTTTCAATTGACAATTACATATGCCAATCGAAAACTACATTTATATGTCAATAAATGAACAAATATTCCTTCATATTTCTTTCAAAAACAAAAGTTCTGCTAAAGAAAGAGCTAACAGTTATATGTTAATGATGGAAACATAACTGTGCTTCGTTCCTTTGCGGCATCTCTCACAGACGGCACTCCCTTTGCGATAAAAACGACTTGGCCATTGTGAAATATGTTTGTTTTTGTTCAACAAAGAGCTATATGAAATTAGGGCCACCCATTCTTAACTGGCCTTAGTATCTAAACAGTTGTAATAGGAAAATGAACTCAAGAAGGAAGGACTTTCATTAGTTGCGTGCCCAAGATAAGGCACTTTTGTCTGTTTAGAAATTGCAGTTATTCTTTTTTATAAACAAACTGAGACAAAATATGACAAGATTATGGATTGATTTAAAATCAATCAGGGATTATTAATGCAAAAAATTTCATATGACCGAATTAGGTGACCGCTGCACCTTGTGGTCAATCTTTTCCCATAATTTTCAGACAACTAAAGACGTTTTTCAGAGAGCCACCCAAATTAAAAGTTATACTTAATGGAATTTACTGTTCATTATTTCATGCCTCGGTCGATAATTCAATTAAGGGCAAAATGCTTGATTGATCGAAGTTATTTGAGATCGACAAGTCTTTCTGTTGCAAATAATTGATCGCCGGCATGCAAGATTTATAATTTATTCTAAACAGAGTAAAGAGACGCTGGCAACATCCCAACTTAACACCCATAACTGTATTATTAAATAATAGAAAACGATAAAGTCAATAATATATCATGACAATTTTTCCACGGGGCTTTTCACAGAAGAACAAATGCTAGTAACTTTTCTGAATAATTCAAAAGTTGTTTGTTTCAAGAAGTAAATTTAACTTTAAACTGACGTCATTGTTGCTCTGAATATTTACCAAAATGGAAATGGCAGAATAATCTATTGCTGCAGTTATTACTTAATAAAGTTTTTATCTGTTCAAATCTTGCATATCTTTGCATTAACGAAACCCCACTCAGTGAAGCCGTTATTTCTTATCTTCGTTAGAGAATTACACAGCTTGTATCGTCTTAAGAAGACTGAAAAATGCAAATCATATGATTACACTTGGACATAAAGATATTGCTTTTTATTGCCTAGCTGCTTAGAATGGTGCTTGGTTAGGCATTTGTAATCTATAGGTGCATCTAAGCCCGAAGCAGATAAGCTATGGAATCGAATATTGAATCACACCACAATTGCTGCAATTTCAACTTATGTTGTATCAAATTGACTTAAGTCGCTGTTATTCATAGTTAGAGAAGCCAGGCTAATGTGAAAACTTTCTAACTCTCCTGTTTTTGTCAACAGCTTTTTTATTTGAATTTTTGTCGTAATTAAGATGTATGCTTTTTTGCCATAGCCTTTAGGGTAGCCATATTCCTTGGCCACAGTTTGCAATGTTGTAAATTTCTATCCTGAATAGATTCTTTCGTCTTAATAAGATTTTTTATTTAATAGAAACTTTGCAACGATAATAAAACCTGACATCGTCAAATTTTCATTGCTAGGGACCAACGCAGCCCTTTCTTCTGCCGACTTGTGCAGATAGAGCCATCTTTGATTTTGAAGTGATCTTGATGTTTGGTTTTTTTACTTTAGGTAATGCAAGATTCCAGTCAATGATAAAAGAACCATTTTCGACTGAAATGATGAATGAGGTAAAGTTTGAAATGTGACTTTCGTTTGTAGCTAATTGTAAAATTATTTTAGAAAAAAACTCTATAGTAGGCCTGTATTTTACTGCATTTGTTTGTACATGTGTTTACAAAAATATTTTGACGAGTAATTTACGATGCTTTTGTTGCGTAATCAGTTTTAATGCCATCGCAGTTGAATTAATCGTCTAGACAAGTCGGGTCCACCACATCCACTAACAGAAGGCAATTTCAATCTCCTCTGCTTTCCTTTATTTTTCAAAACATGATATTGCAGATCTATACCATAATAGCCCACTTTTAGGCCAAGCAGGCATTTCTTGTTGGGTGTATCAGAGTTTTTTGTCATTTGCCTCGCGTTGGTGTGTTGGACGTGAACTTCCTTTGTGTTACTGTACAAAAAACATCGTTACTGGTAATGCATACCCTAAAATGTTTATTGCCACTTATTATAAGTCCAGTTTCTAGGGGTCCACCAGGGCCGATTGCCCGATAATGTTTCTAAGAATTGACTTAGCCAATCACTTTGCAGAATTTCAATACAAGAAAAAGTCATGCCTATTGCACCCCTGTTATTAGGTCTCGCATAAGGAAAACCAACTGACAATTATTTACTGTTACCGCGTGAGATTTTTAGTGCTAAAGTCATTGTTTCAAGGCTTAGAATTGACAGCCAGTTTAAAAATTTTGCGTGGAAGTTTGCTTTGGTTAATCATTGAGTGATACCACGGTAGATCAGTGAGCTGGACAACTAATAGAGTTAGAAGATAGAATTCAGTTTAATGTACGATTAACGCTCATAAGCAAATAAATGACATCAGTGCCTAAAGACTTCTTGTCAGGTATATATTGCTAAGCATCTTTGCACGACTGGCTGTAATTGGATGGGAGATATAACCCTCCTAGTATCGTCTAGTGCCACGATTTTGACGAAGAGCACTAATCAGATCATTTCAAAAGATAAATAAACTTTGGATTGCAAATAATGGAAGACATTGAAATTGAATAAAAGGTGTTTTATTCAAAATGGTTTGGTGTAGAATATCGTCAGTCTATTGATTGTCTACCGTACTGGGAAAGTGAAACTTAGGCGTGTTAGTCATCGTGCTTTAAGAAGTTAAGCCGATTTGTACAGAACTTCCACTTAATGCAAGATTTAATCTAGACCAAATATTTTTGGATGTAGAATGTCTGAGAAAGTCTTCAAAGAACCAAACTCCAATGCACTTTAGGTTAAGTGGGTTCTTGTAAATCGCGTCAGGCGATGCTAATAGTGATAAGAGTTTTTGATTAAATGTCACAAAAACGGAACAAAATTTTCAAGTTCTACATTAAAGCGGTAGGTAATTTGCATAAACCACCACGAAGGATTTACAAGAAATGTATCAGTCACTGAGAGATTCTTCTTTGGAGTTTGTTACAGGAGCATATACGACCAATAATGGGCAGGGTCTGACATGATTTCGATTATTAGTCATGTAGCATTGAAAATTTCCAGACAGAAATTAGCATTTTTTGCATTAGACTATGAACATTAACAGGATATCGCTACGTCGTCACTGAATGTTGATAGTCTTGTGGCAATTAGGTCCTGTAATGTTCGGTCGTCATGTTACCTTGTAAAAAATTCAACGAGAACGATCCAGTTCATGTGAGTGATATAGTCTTTGAGAGACCATATCTTACCTAGGATGATTGCAGGTTAACTGAAGCCTTTCAGCCTTTGCTCACTGTCTCGTTCCCCCACCTCTAGCACCTCAATAAATGCCAATAGTCTGGGCATTCGACACTAGGCCTCACTCACACTAACTATTATCCCCCTTTTGTGTTTATGAAATATCATTTTATTGAAAAACAAACTGTCTGGTTTTAGGTTCAGTTTCAAATCATTTCAGTTGCCCAAAATTAATTAAGTCCGATGAGGAATCCTCTTAAATGCGATAGCAACGTTTATCACAAGCATATATGTTAAAGCTTTAAAATCCACGTTTTTCTAATTAGGTCGATTTGCCTGCTAGCGTTTGAAAGTTCCACGTAAGATTAAATCTTGTCAAAACAAAAAAAGTAGTTTATAGCTTAAAAATTGTTGCAGGCAAGTTTGACATCGAATTTCATTCTAATAAAAAGATTTTGATAAAAAAAGTGTTGATTTATTGAAAATCATTATCTTAATTAGGTCGTCTGTGTCAGTGGTGGCGCTAGGTTTCCTCCGACAAAGGGGCTAGCACTTCCGACGGAGGGGCTAATTTTTTTAGAGAACGATAGGGCTAGGGGGCGACAAGGAATTGTAAGGGTACTGGAGACCGAAGGCGAGCGTTGCGAGCCGAAAATTCGGGGGGTCCGGGGGTACTCCCCCGGGAAAATTTTGGTGGCTACACCCATTAGATTGGCTAAAAATGCTATCAAAATGGTGTAATCGTGTTTTTTACTACGTTTTTTGACATATTACTAAGGGCACGTTTGCCCCCTCCCTTGCCCCTCCTAGCAAAGGGCAGGAGGGGCGCTTGCCCCCCGCGCCCCCCTTCTCCGGCGTCCCTGGAAATTTTTTTTGAAAGCTGCCTCTAGATAAGCTTAAAACTACTCTAAATCTTTACAACTCATCAAACGTTGCCAATTCAAGTAGGGCCTATCTTTGGAAAGTATGAATTTAAATAAAAAGCAACCAACTGAACTTAAGGAAAACTGGAACACAACGTAACTTTATAGGAACAGACCTCTTATAACAGATTATTATTTACCATGAAATTGATGTGTCGATGAGTTGTTTTGGGATGAGCTTCCTGAATTCTGATAACAGTCCTTTTAGAAATTTCTATTTCCGCCAAAACTTAAAAAATTCGCTCCGACAAAAAAAATTCAAGCATAATTTATCTTCCGACGGAGGGGCTAGCCTCCTCCGACGGGGGGGCTGTAGCCCCCCCTGCCCCCCCTCTGGCGCCACCACTGGTCTGTGTCTTAACTTTCTATTAAACACGGCGCAAAATATGTCAAAGCAGAGTGTTACCGTTCCATTTAGAACTATTTTTATTGCTGTAAATTCCAGGAAGAATGGCTTTATCTTCCAGGAAGAATGGCTTTATCTTCCAGGAAGATACCTTTATAAAGCAAATATGCATTTTTGTTATGTCACTAGAGAAATCTCTATTTCCCTCGTGTGACTTCCTCTATCTCTTGTGAGTTCAAAAGAATCAAAACTGGTTATACAAATTTGAATTCTATAATTCTTCTTCAACATTATTTAATATTAATCACCAGGTTCAGTGTTGCCTATTATTTTTCACAACGGTGACATATTTCATTCTGCTGCAGTGTGCGTGGCGTGTAAAAAGTAAAGATTGTCACAAAATTTGCTTATTGTGACTTTTTGTATATTAGTTAGTTTTGTATAAGTTTCTTAGAACCTGTAATAAAAATATAGTTCGTTTAATTTTTAGAAACGTTGTTTTGTCGTGGCATCGTTGTGTTTTATACAGAGTAAGTTTCTAAAATATTTGCAAACAGCGTGCACAGTATTTTAAAAGAATATGTTGGTGAAAATGAGAGCATAATTATGCTAAGAAAATTCGGACGAGCCAATCTTTTGAGACAAATTAACCATATTAGGATTTCAATTTTGAACGAGTTTGATTTTCTTAGCAATTATGCTTGCCTTTGTCACGTTTTCTAACGACAATTTGTGGTTCTTAGTTTTATAAAATATTTAGATTAAAAAAACCTCAGTTGACGTGTTTAAGAACCATTTTTTTAGAGATAAAGCTTATTTTATGCGAATAGTTAGTCCATCCCAACATTGTCAGCAATTTGTCACCGAAAGTAATGTCATTCGAAGTTATAATCAAAATATATGTACTGTGAAGTTCATTAGATTAACGTTATGAGAAAATGTACGATAGAGTTACTTTTGTGCTGCAGATAGGCCGCAACATATAGTACAATTAACAAGAAATGAATGAATTTGCCATTCGTTTCTGTGGCATTCGTATTAGTTGTGTCGAGCACAACCGCAAAAGCAATCTATATTACCCAGCTTGATTGCTAATGCTATTTGAATCAAGAAGTGCCTAAATGTGGCATAATTCTGTGAAAATGCGAACAATCGCCCACCCCCTCCAAGCTTTCCTCTTCATGGCTATAAAACAATGTTTTTGCAAAGATATCCTAATTCCTCTTTTCTCGTGTATTGACAGATTATTCTCAACTTTGCACCTTTGTCAACTTTTACCGGTGCAAAAATAAGCTGCAACTATTTTGCCTAGAATTTAACTATAACTATCTCATTGTTTAGCGGACACTAAAATGGCTTTTTTTTACAAGGCCTAAAATTTGAGATAGCACCTAATATTGTAAGAACTTTCATCAAAACATATACTCATTGAATCAGCTAAAAAAATTTTTCCTCCCACTTTTATTACCATTTAGAAAAATCAATACCTGAAGATTCCTTAAAAATTTTCAAATTTTCCGTACTTTTTATTTGATATGTTGCTGGTTCTATCGAATCCTCCAATACACCATTCCCTTGTGATCACTCTATTTTTTCCTACCAAGTCGTCCCGTGTGATGGTTCTGTTATCTCCGCGTATCAAGTCTAACACATGCATAAGCAGAGAAAATCTTTTGCTTCTTAAACATCTCTAACTTGCGTGCAGGATCATTTAATTGATGGGTATCTGCTTAGTAGGAAATAGTATTTGAAATTTTATATGCTGGGGTGTTGAACGTATTTGAATAGGATGCTTGGGTTGATATTTTATATATTGCGTAGCCTAACAACGAAGCAAATGGAATTAAGAATCTTTACTATGTTTTGCATTCGTGTTGGTTTGGAATGATAGCAGTACCCAACGAGATTTTGTACAGATTCACATATGATGGGTTTTGTAAAATGTGACTTTTTATTGTGTTTTAATAACTTTTTGACAATGCAAAGAAAGGCACGAACTTTATTGGACGTTAGGTGGACTAAGCTCCCAATGCTGATGGCTTTAAGAAGTCTTTATTTTCACAAACGGTGGCACGAAATGAAACCTGGGGGGAGAAGAATACAGTTTAGTGACATAGGAGGACCCACCAGTTGGGTCCGACGCGCAAAAATATTTTTGAATTAAGCCATCTAGAGTGGCTAAAAATGCATCTCCAAGTTTAAAATTTAACAAAACAATGTACCGCTCAAAATAGACAATTCGACGATTCTCAGAAAAGAAATTGATTATTGGTTTTTAGAAAAGATGTGGAAGGGAAGAGGAGGGAAGAGGAGGGAAGGGGAGGGAAGGGGAGGGAAGGAGAGGGAAGGGGAGGGAAGGGGAGGGAAGGGGAGGGAAAGGGGAGGGAAAGGTAGTGGAGGGAAGGGAAGGGGAGAG